AAATGTGTACCACATAAGCCATATTTTTAACAATAGTCACATCATGCGAAAAGTGCACATAATAATAATAAGTTGGCAACAGATTTATTGTGTTTCAAATTCATACGAGTGACTCAGGATAATTTAAAATTGGAAATGATTTAGTACTACTGGTGTTTGCCTGTTCTCATTTTTCACTGCATGTAACAAGAAAGAATGTGTTTTTGGCAAATGTAAGACATATGCTGAAGCTTCTTGGCTATGTTAAATACTAAGTGAATTCTAAATTTTCAGATGACTAGTGTTTTACTGAATTCCTGAAGCAAAATAAACAAGTATTATTTATTTTGCTATTACGGACAGTTACATACTGTATAACCGGTTTCAGTGTACGTGTTAAGTAATACTAAATAGCGAATAAAAGTTAGTCTGTTAAAGCAACAAAGATATAATAAATAGAGGTATATTAAGTTTCAAATCCGTCACACTGAGAGCTAACAATAAAAGAGATCCAGGCTATAAACTGACCATTGATTATTGGTACTACTTATGATAATAACCACTATTATAGCTACTGTTTCTTCTTGAATTCACAGCATTATGACACCGTGAAATATCCATCCACCTGGTGACAATTTTTAGAAACTAACTATTCATTTTTCTACCTGAATAATATTTGAGCAGACTCTCGAGTATGAAATTGCATCATTTGGAATGTATTTCTCAAACCGGTGAAAATATTATCGGTTGCTTGAATAAATCAAATTTGAGTAGTTCATCTTGGAGATACACAAATTTAATTTCCAGTTACTGATTTAGTCTCGAAACTGGTGTAAATCAAACATAATCTTGTTAACATTTAAAACTGAGATCTTTGAAGAAAATAGGAGACCACTGATCAATTGGCTTTCCAAATAAAAAAACTGGATAGTATGTATTCAGAATCACTGAAAGATGGCATCGGAATATTATGGCTTTAACTTGTCTGTTGTGGTCTTATTGGTTGCAATTAACGAAAGACTCGTCAGGTATGCACACTAATTTGTAAGTTTTCAATAATCTGTGAGTTAATAAGCACAAATTGAAGAATTCCTCCTTGTTACAATCAAACGCTGAAGTTAGACATGATGAACATTTGCAGCTCAGCTGAATAATATTAATGTGTGTCAGTGGCACAGCGGTTAGGATTCTCTCCGACCATACACATGGTCCATGGTTCGATCCCCTGACAACGCACAACTGATATCAATGGTCGGCCTGAAAAATTTGAACTACCGATATCACATGCTGAAAATGCCATACTTTACCAAAAATACGGTATGGAATCAAGCTATAATCAAAAATAAAAATAAAATGTCTTGTTTTCTGAGCTGGACAGAAATCAGATTCACAAGAAAAGAGAAATCCAGAAACGAAATTTCCACTTTCAAACATCTTAGTCAAGCGAACTATCAAAGGAAAATTATAAACTTAAGTACACAGAAAATTAACTCATACAGATCGAATACTGATCTTCATCAGCAACAACCCAAAAGTACACAAAAATATTATTCAAGTGAGTATTCAAAAGGACACACTCAAAAAATCCTTTCTTGAAAAAGATACAGGAGAATTATATTATGACCATCTTCCAGAAAAGTGGCACCCTAAGAAATTTCATCGGAAGGTGCTTACCTTCAACCCAGAAAGCCAACTCAAAATTATCCAATGAAGGTACAAATAAAATCCTACTACTACATACCAAAAACATCTCTGAACTCATTGCATGACTACTGAAATATTTTGGGATAGATTTCGCCTAAAAACCAATAAAATCACTTCAGTCTTCACCGTGTCAACCAAAAGACGCAACGGCAAAAGAAGACAAAACTTACATTATCTATCAGATAAACTGCTACAAGTATGAAAAACACTATATTGTTTAAAGTAGTCTTCGTTTTACCCTTCTCACACACAAGCAATAACTAACTGTCAAAAGGCTTGACATCCGTCCTCTCATATCAGTGCTTGCAGACAACAACAGACACACGGACTGGAAAAATGCGAATAATCAAGACAAAGGAAACACCAAAAGTACCCGAGAAATCTTAGAGGTCTGGTAATCAAACGAATTTGTAATCAATACAAACAATGGTGTAGTTAAGGTTTATCAATCAATAGAAGTGCGCTAACATGGGATAACGATCAACTGTCAGGTCAACAAAATAATCTCTACCAATTAAAGTGAACAGGAAGGTGAGAGAATCTCTGGAACAAGCAACCACACTCAGGGTCATCAGGAGAAACGGTTAATAAACTCACTGAAAATTTTAAAAGCTGAATCCATATTTAGATCAGGTCTGAACGTGTTGTCTAGTAAGATGAGAACTCTGTTGGCTCAGGAAACACAACTACAACAATACACTGTAGTTATTTCAAACTGCTGATCGATGATTGTTTATTTGTGATTAACAGCCTTTCATTACTCAGTGGTATACTGTAATAACGATGACAGTAAATGAGTATACACTGACTTTTTGTATCACTGCTTAGAAAAGTTTTACAAATTGAAATTTTAAGTCTTTGTTCCACAGTCACGTAATCATACAGGTTAGTTAATCACCTAAGATTTGAATTAGTAAACGGGTTGCACTTAAAAGAATAAAGCAATTTCCCACTATACCAGTCAAAAGACTGAAAATTTCTCAGTTGCTTCCCCACATGTCCAGTCGTAAACGCATTGGCAATTTAAACGTCTACATATGTATGTATGCACCATACTCTCTGTGTCTGAAACAAAGTCTAAAATAAATGGAATCCATGAAGAATTAACATTGAGACCGCTCGAAGCTTAACAGAAACAGCTCATGCTACTTTTCAACTAGTTTACTGAAATTAGTTATTTTGATTTAGCACTACTGGTACACTGTCTTAAGTTGCACACAAACATGCAGGTGTTATGAATACAATATTCAGCCGATTACGTTTCATTTTGTTATCCCTTTTTTTTCATATTCTCACCCGGTAATTCCAGGCAAACTAGACAGATTATCTGTAAATATTAATGCTCTCTAAGAAAACAGAAATTCCATAGTGAACGTAAAATAATGCATGAATTTACTACTGTGTAACATTTTCATTGGTAAAAATGGAGTGCAGACCATTGGAGAATATGCTATTTCGGAATGTTTTTACCTTAACAAATTCCTATTATTAATTGCGATGAATATTAGCTTCGAAGCAGCTAATTAATATATGCTCCGATTTTCTGTGCGGTATATTTGACATACTTCCTAATTTCCTGTCTGGTATAATATCAGATGTTTTTATGGACACCTTTATAGTTTTAAGATATGTGATATTAATAAATGAAGTGAAGAAGTGAATGTTTAAATTTATACTTAAATCGTTTGAGGTAAGACGCATGCTGCTTTAAATAATCTGGAACTCATATTTTCGTCTATCAAATGCAGTTATTTTGTTGATAAAACGGCGTAATGTTGTGAAATGTTCCCATGTTAAATTCTTGATAAAATGGTGGCTTGGATTTCGTGGAAAGCTTAGACGCAGAAGAATCCAAGTCAGTAAACTACTCTTTCTAAAAATTATGAGCATTATAATTTCAAATGCATAAAAATCTCTCTAGGTTTATTTTGTAGAATGTTAAACGTCATCATACACTGTTTACAACTTATACGTATGTATATAGACAGTAGTATAAGCATTTTGTAAGTAATATTGTTCATGCGAAGTAATTCATCCTTCATGTATACCCTTGACCACTTTGTCTTCCCACCTTTTATTCCAAATAAAAAATTATAAGTCAGTATTTTAATGTTAAACACTATGTACTTTAAGACCATGACTAGTCATTCCTATTAACTGGTATTTTTCGAACGTGTAAGCATTAGTTTTCCTGAGGTGATAAATTTTGAAACATGATTTGATCGCACTTAAATTCACAAAACAAAGACTAAAATAAATAATTTAAAAAATAAAGTGTTTAGCTGAGAATAAAACTCAAAACATAAGTTGTAATACAAGCTAGGCATTATTTATCTTGATAATACTATAAGTGACATATATACTAGCCCTGATTTTTAAAAAATAAACATGTATGTATGATCCAAGTACAAAAAATTACTAGTCAACGATTAAGGTGAATTATAACTGTTAATTTTGTATTTCCCCTAACCATACTGTATCTACAAAACATTAGATCCAGTAATCCATAACATGCTAAAATTTCCAAACTTAATCGACAAGACTGTGTTGAAACAAACTCACTGTTATTATTATTATATTTTATATTCTCAATTCGCGCTTCGAATATTTTTAACAATAATAATTAACAGCCCTATAATATTTGACTTTATATCGTAAACGTGGACGAATTCGTCTGGTTACATTTGTCTTAATTTTTAATTTTATTTATATTTTAAGTAAATCAGATGCAATATTCTGACAAATGCTAAGGATTCCATTCTGTATCATAAATATTTTTTAGAATAAAGTAATTTATTATCATTATTATTATTACTCTAACGCTGACTGGCATTACTTTACAAAGATTTTTACTGATAAAAAAGATATGCAGAATTGAAAAAAACGCCAAGCAGGCTTTTTGAATAAGTATTTTGCTCATAAATAAATAATAATATACCACTGTGTGTTTTTATGAAGTAAATTTATTCTGTGATAGAATCATGCTCTACCACAGTACCTTAGGTTTATCCTTATATTTTACTTGGAATTCGTTATTATTCTGCGAACCGTTAACCATCAAGGTACATGAAAGTTTAGGAATTTTCATTATCTCCTGAAGCACGGATGACGTGTTAAAACCATTGGGAGGTCTTTTAGCGAAAATAATTTGTTTCGACAGAAATTATATGAAATATAATGATTCCTCTAAAAATCTATACTATCTTAAATATAAGTTTACAGATGCTTATTGGTATTGTTATTGATATATCCACAACTAAAATACCTGATATAAACTTTCGAAATGCAGCCCGAAACATTGAAGAAGAATGGCTTACCTTTACGAACACTGATAAACGTAGATTCTGTAGCTACTATTGGTGTTCCGTTAACATACTGCGTCGCAATACATTTGTATTCACCTTCGTCACTTTTCTGAATGTTTCTGATGTGAAAATAGGCATCTGTAGCTATCAGTTCCTTGTTATTAACTTCCCATTGGTAATGAATATATTCTGATTCAACACCACCCGTAGCATTACAAAAAAATGCTATGTTCTGTCCTTCGTAAATAACTTGAATGCGTTGCGAGTAACACTGAATTAAAAATAAAATACACAGGAAGAATTTTCCAGGAGAGAAGCCAAACATTTTTCAGATAAGCATGTATCTAAGTGAATACATATACCCAGACATTGCTATATATAATCATAGGAGTTAGGTTTGTGGAGTGTAGAAAATTTTTAATGTATTTTTCTTTATAAAACCTGTTTTCAATGCACAAGTCAATACTATTATTATCGCAAATTGGATTTTGTTTTAATGCGCTAAAATGGAGCAAAGGTCAAGACATTTTTTCAAATATGTCAACTTACCTTGGATATGTGAGTTTGTGGTTATTCAAGCCTTCACTATGCGAATCGTATGTAAAATACTTTAATTAAGTTAGTTTGTTTTGCTTGCTTTGCAATTTTTCAGAAAAGTATTTGTTTGTTTTGAAGTCGGTGTCATTATATACATCATATGTATTCACAAAACATAAATTACTTCGTGTCATTCTGATATATGCGTACGGCATTATTACTATGCAGGCCATATGTAATTATTTCATAATGCTGTTTATTTTTCACCCAGAAATATCACTAGATAATCTATATATTATCTATGCGTAAAATTGGCAAAATATTTAGTATTTACACCAACCTTTGCCCAACTATTTGCCTATTAAAACTACCCATTTAGCCCACGTTTTTCGCCAAATTGCTCAGATGCATTCTCTGACTGGGTACAGATATATCTTGTTTCATAAGAAGCTGTTGCACTACAAAATAGGGCAAGCTAATTCCAGACTGCGATTTGTTCCCAAGGGTTTTATGCGGCTTTTCTGCCCTTCGTATTTTTAATATCTTGGTTTCCCAGTTGGTTTATACCAACTTACAATTGTTTTATTGGAACAAGCTAGCTGACGAGATGTGTTAATTTCACTTGAACCACTCTGATATATCCGATTCGAACTACAGTATACTAGGTTTACTTGTTTCAATTCTATTTTATTCTGTGGTGCTGCACACGTGGTATCATTTCACCCAAATTGTCATGCAGCTGTGGTTTCTGCGATAACATCTGCAGACTGTGCGGACAACAGTGGTTACAGCTTTTAAATCAGGTTCCCGATATTCACTGGCTGCTCATGTTTATTTCTTTCCTTTACGAGTATTCACTAATGCATGTGTTCATTCGAAATAGTTCGTCATTCCCATCTAAAATAAGAACCTCACAAAAGGAGAGAAAGCCAGCTTCTCTGATGACTGTAACAGCCATCGAGAATTGACAACTCTCTAGAAACAGTGTTGTTTGCCAATCTGTGTAGTGTGCCATCAAAGAAGTAGCCTTTGAAAAGAAGTGTATCTCATGGAGATGACTGCAACGTTTGTAAAGAAGTGTTTTTCGAGTGCATCTTCTATATACAGTCAATTTATCCTAAATAATCCACGTCTTTACTCTTAGTGTGTTCACAAAATGCCACAAGAGCCCTATCATGCTAGTTAAAATACCAAAGGGAGGCCTAATACGTCTACTGATCAGTGCTAAACTAGCTCACTACCGCAAAATCGGTAGAGGACAAAAAACTAATGAACTATAAGCTGTCAGCTGAAAGTATGGATAAACTGGGAGGTCTACTGAAAACCGCTGAACCAGCCGAAGCTTTGGGTGCTTAAACATGTTCTATTACAGCATCAGAAAATGAATGGGGACTATGGTTGAAGAGAATTTTAGAAAACAGCTTGCACTTCAGTGGAGGGGGGAATCTTAGACATCGAATATTAATGCAATGGACAGACAGTGTTTACTATTTTTCACTGACCTTTTTGGCAAGTAGGATAGGACGTTTTCTCCTACAAACTCTACTCTTATTTTGAGCTTTGGTTGGCGAACACTAATCTGATATAAAAGTGAAACTTGAATAACTGTGAATCACAAGCAAGACTTTTTATGTAGTAATAAATGAGGTCAAGCTCACAATTATGGTTGATTACGATGTCATGGAATGGGCAGTTAGTGATATGCGAGGTTACCTGCACGATGCCTAATGATTTCATTAGATGTCTGTGCAGGTGCGTTCGAGTAGCATCTTACCAGCAGCCGTCTACAAGTTACCTTGACCATTACACTTGTATGAACCTGGCGATGAAATTTGGCTGCCAGGATACACTTCAGGCATGATATAAAATGAAAGACATTATTAGCCGTCGCTTATGCTGCAGCCGAAAACCGAAAGAGTTATGGCAACGATAGGGACAACTGTCTTTGCGAACCCACACATATGTTTTTGTTGAGCTATAGCATGGATTTTTTAGGAAAGCAAATACTCAATAGAAAAACTTAGTTCTGAAGGAATCAACATTCATGATACTTGGCTATCACCCAGTGTTTAAGACAATAGAACGGTCAGAGATAAGATGCTACTGTATGGGAAAGAAAGGGGAAGCGAAGGCAGAGGTGGAGTAGACGTGTAGATTCTGATAAGATTAGTCATTGAAGCCATGGTGGTTGGACTTCAGCCCCATAGCCATTATTTCACTATCTTTATTTCGTGGCTGCCATCTGACTTTAACCAAAGGAGAATTCTGGCAGTAAGTTAGCTATTTTCTCCGGGGAAGAGGGTTTGTATGTTAAATCCCTTTGGACTGGTGTATTAATTTTAAGATCAAGAGGTACTAGATGAGACAAATGAAAAGTAATAACGTTTCTCACAGAAGAGTTTGCTGCCAATATATTAACTTTTGATAAAAAGGGTCGTTTTTAATAAAAGTTGGTTTATTTCGTTTAAAATACCGTACACGGAGTCTAATGATGAAAAACTGTTTGGAGACTAAATTTTAAGTGAATCAACAAGTGGAATCATGTTTTGTTTTCACAATTCCATCCAGTGGGTAGTTATAATAATCTACCAGCTGCTGTTATAGTTTGTTGCTTTCTGCTGAAATCCATAATCATTATCGTCTAGTTTACTAAGTGGTCATAAGCGGGGTGAAGTGGGGAAGTTAGGCGTGATGGTAGCAACCCCTTTCAAGAAAACAAATCCATCTTTACTGAGTCTTAGAAGAACAGAAAAATGAAATAAGTATGATCTGGAATTGTAGATGACATTGGCTGTCGACAGCTTTTGGTAAGCCATCGGGCTGATGTTTTCTCTTGCAGTGGAAGCAAAATTAGGCATTGCGACATGTACTTTCCGTGTTATGAATCTTTGATGGCTCATATAACATAATTAGACTCTTCAAACTGCCCACTAAAGAACCAACAGTTTACTCCCGTCACTTAGAAGGCACACTAATGGTGTGGTCATCATGATATTACCAAGAGCATCAAAGACGTTCATGTTCTAAACGATCATGGCTACAAGATACAATTCAAAGTAAAGAAAAGTGACAGCTATAGGATGTTACGCACCTACAAACGATATAGACCAAAGGAAGTAAGAGGTCTTCTAGAGACAACTACAGGTATTATCGAGCGAAACCCCAGGTGGCAATATATAAATTCTAATGGATGACGTGAATACAAACCAAACTGGGGACAGATGACACAATAACAGAACTCATCATGACTACAGAAATAACCGGTGAAATTAGTGAAACTGAAGAACTCTTTGCAGATTTCTATGCACTTATTGATATGGTGACTTCAGGCAACATGAAAAAGCACACGGACACCCACAAGCTGAAACGGGTCTTACCAAACAGACGCACCAAGAGCCAGACAGACTTCTCAATCATAAGAAAGTGGAGAGACAAAACAAAACACAAGATCGAGAAAAAGAGTAGGTTTAGGCACAGACCTATATCTAATGCAAGAAAAATTCAAGATTCAAGGTTGAATAATTTCATGGAAGCTAGAAATAGACCACAACTAAAATTTAAGTTCAACACTCGGAAAGTGAAGTACGAAGCCACAAACGACACCACTGAAGTCTCTAAGATAAAGATGGAAGTATTAAACAACATTAAGGAGGAAGCCTGCATGCAAGAACACTAGGACTTTCTGAAAGCGATATCAAAAGAAATCCTACATAGACACCCAAGTCAAAAAGAAGAAGCGAGACGAAGAATGGCTCACTATGAACACCTGGAAGCTGATAATGGGGAGGATCATAAGGTGGGCGATGAACAGGAGTACAACCTACAACACATTTGACAAAAGGGTGAAGAAGAGTAGTAGAAAGTACAAAGGATTCTTCTACGACACACTGGCAACTGAAGCCGAACAGGCTACGGGTAAAAGAGACCTCACAACATTTTATCAAATAACAACATCCGGATACGGGATGAGATCAACCCAAATTCAGCTAGTGAAAGATAGTGAAGGAAACCGAATTACCAAATAGGTGAGACGGAGCGTACGCTGAACCAATAACTTCAAAGGACTATTGAACCAACCAGCACCTACGACTCCATCAGGAATACCACCATACAACGCAAAACTACCAGTGAATACAAAGCTTCCAAAAGAAAAAGAAGTCTTAAAGGCCATAAAGTTATGGAGGGTCGGGAGTACAGTAGAACTAGATAGAATCCCCCCATATGCGGTGAAAACGAACTTTAGGCCTTAGTGGATATACTCACGACAATACTACAGAAGGTGTGGAAGGAAGGGAAGGTACACACCTTGTCAATCTGTGAAAGATAGGCGACTTAGTTTAGTGAAAGTTCTGGCGAGCAACTATTCTCATGTCCATTACGATCAAAATATTAGGTCGAAACCTCTTGGAAAGAGTAAATGATGCCCTAGATGCAAAAGTGCTCCTCCCAGAACAAGCTGGATTCGGGAAAGGCAAATGATTACCTCAGTCAGGTGACACATTGATCATCGTCATCTAGCGAAGCCTAGAACAACAATCAACTGTCTACCTCAACTTAATCGACATGAAAACGGCCTTTGACAGCGTCAGTCATGAAGTAATTTGCAAAGCTTTTCAAATTATGGATCGCCCCGAACCTTCACAAACCTCATTCAACAGCTATATGATTATCCTACACGCCAGGGAATTCACAGCAAAAAGCTCAGCAAAACATTTTAAGTGAAGACACAAGTTGTTGTTATTGTTTCCTTTAATTCTTAGAGGAACATGAAGCTTCAGCCGCACGTCTCCATTGCGTTCGGTTCTCTGTCAGCGTTTTCACGTGTCTCCACGTCTGCCCACATGCTTTCATCTCCTCTTCACATGACCTTCTGCACGTCACCCTCAGACGACCAACTCGCCGCTTTCCATACGGCTTCCACTCAAAAGAGAC